GGGGGGAATTATATATTTATTTGCTGATCACTGGGATGTATGGGATGAGAGGAGGGGAGGGAGGAAGGGGAAGATAGAGCACAGGGTAGGGAATAGACACAGGATAGCTTGCATGCTGTGGGAGTCGGGGGAATGGCAATATATGAGTAGGGGGAGGGGAATGGAAGAACAAGGTTGATGGGAGAACAGTTAGACAGGTTCGCATGAGCTAAGTGGGACAGGGGTAAATGATGATGTATGCATAACGTTGGAATAACAGGGCTCCGAGATACAGGGATTGAGGCATGGTTTGAATGGGTAAAAGATGGGAATAATGTTAAGATGCTTGGCTGTCTTTTGAATCTTGGTTTTCCTTGCCTACCATTATAAAATAGACACTTGAGGGGGGAGAAAAGAATAGCCAGAACCATCACAAGAGAAAGCTTGTAAGTCCCTTTATCCTATAACTGTTTGGAGTACCTTAAAGGGGCCTAGAAGTTGCCCAGTGAAAGAGGCTTCCTATGGAGCTTTTGCATTGCATAAGACCATAGGTGGAATCCAAACCCCCATCCAGAATGGTCGGGTGTGGGAAATTTCCACTGGAAAGGACGAGTAGACCAGCACCGGGCTGGAGTGGCTAGAACAGAAGATACTTTGTGAAGGAAAGACCAACAGGAAAAATCAAAAACAATAATGGCAGTTGACTGATTACTACAAGAACAAGTAAGCTGTTCACCCAGGAGCCAACAAAGCAAGTGGGTCCCCTTAGAGCAAACTCCCTTCCAAGACTAAGACTCAATGGGAATACGAGAACAGGCATATGGTCTGGCTGCTGACCACATTGGTCACTGATAAAGGGAAGAGGGGGAAAAACAGCAATGAAATTGGGATCTAAGCCTGACCACATTCAATAGACTCCTGTGAACCCAGCTGGAGACCTGGATGGCCACTAGTACACAAGACCCAGGGACTCCTGGGCCAGAGGCAGTGACATGGCCACAAAGGACTAGAGTGGAGAGTGAAGCATCCAGCTGATATGAAGTGAGGGGAGATACACAAGAACACCCATACCTACAGATAGTACCCACTTGACCTGGTTTTGATGGCTGGATGATCAGAACTTGACTAGAAGAAGAAAGAAGAGGGGGGGGAAATTGTAACCCACTACAAGTTGACGAACTTTACCTATACATACGGATGTAGTAGCTCAAAAAAGGGAACAAATCTTTACAGCGAGGATCACTCCCACCCCCTTGGTACACAGGGTTAACAGGCATGGGAAACTTAGACATTAGCTACCCAAAATGAGGCGGGTGGGCTATAAAGGCAAGAAGTGACTGGCTTACAAGCTTTCAATAGGGAGCCTAGTTCCAGATGGGGAAGGGGTAGGTAGAATCTCCACTGAATGATTTCCAATCTGTTGGGACCAGGCTGGCAAAAGGAAATGTGGATAAGACTCCTGTGGTACAATAGTGAATAACTGCCATCAGGACTGACTGTGAGGCTTGGAAATGTAAAGGTCGATGTTTTTTGACAAAAGGAGGGGAGTGATTGATTTTGCAGCCCAGGAGCGGAGGTCCCTGGGACCATCAAGTGAGAAGAGTGGAGAGCGGGCCCCTATGCCAAGAATGGAGACAGAGATGATGACGTGGACAGATAGAGTGGCTGGGGACATTGGACTCAGGGAGGGAGAGGGGCTATGTGCTGACGGCCAGGGGTAGGGCCTATGGGGTGTACCCTTTGGTTATTTGATGATGCATGGAAGGGACTGTAATAATTGTAATGAAATTAAATACAATAGGATGAATGTAAAACAGATGTTCTCCCATGTAAACGCACATAATTAACAATAAAAACTTAAAATTAAAAAAAAAAAAAGCAAGAATAGGGTCCTGCAAAGATTCTTTGGGCCTTGTTTCATCTGCCCTTGTCATATAGGAGACATTAAGGACCTGCGTACGCTCAATGTGTGTGCCTAGATCAGTGGAGGAACCAAACTCTTAAGAGAGTTCCTGGTGGCATGACCCCCTGGGAGGTGCTCATCCAGCCCTGGAAAAGAGGCCCAAGTAGGAGAGGCCCTGGTGAGCTTCCCCTAGTCAGGAGAAGAGCTGGATCCAGTTCCATCTTCCCAAGGCTCCTCTGTCCTGGTCAGGGTCCAACTAGAGAGGGTGTGCCCTTGGGCATGTAAACTGTTCTATACTAACTGAGAACAGATATGTACCTCTTCTCTCTAGGTTCTGAATCTCCCAAGGGAGCCATCGGCCAAATCATCTGCACCGAGAAGACCATCCTGGCTGTGGAGCGGAACAAGGTGTTGCTGCCTGACCTCTGGAACAGGACCTTCAGCTGGGCCTTTGATGACTTCAGCTGCTGCCTGGGCACCTATGGCTCTGACAAGGTGAGAGGGCTGTGAGGAAGCAGGGTGACCCTCAGGACACTGAACACTCTGCTGGGTGAAGGTAGAAGTGGTCAGAGGCTCCATGGCCCAGCAAACAACAGTGTGTCATGCACCATTTGCCCCTTGCCCTGTTTATAAGACTTGCATGTGACCGGCAGAAGCCCCTGTCTCAAAGCCATCTTTGACTCAATGAGTCACACCTAAAAGTTAGTGTTCACAGTAAGGTCTCCTTACTGGTTGGCTACTTGGTCATACTTAGCCAGCCTAGCCACTCACTCAGTCGTGGGTGCCTCCTGCGAGCTTAGAAAACCTTTACCAAGAGTTCTACAAGATCCACCCTCCTCTAGGCACTCTCGCTAGCTCTGCCTGCTTGGTTTGTCCCCTCCTCACCTCTCCAGTCTCCCCTCACACATTCACACATGGATCTGATGCCATCCCCTCTTCAGAGCTGACTCTGACCTCACCAAGGCATGAGCCAGCATAGGTCTTGGTAAGGGGATCCCTAACAAGTATCACCACACACTGGGCAGGACCGCTAGATCACCCTAGTCACTCTGTCCTGCCTATTCTGGCCCCATACTGGCCCCGTTCCCATAGGTCCTGATGAAGTTTGAGAACCTGGCCTTCTGGGGACGCTGCTTGTGTGCCGTGTGCCCATCTGCAATGACGATCATCACCTCAGGAACCAGCACTGTTGTGTGTGTGTGGGAGCTCCGCATGGCCAAAGACCAGGCAAGAGGCCTGCACCTCAGGAAGGTATGGCAGGGAGGGGCCGAGAGCAGGTACAAAGGAGGGGTTACTGCCCACATTCTCTAAGTGCCTACCCTAAAACACCCTTCAGTAAGAGATTCCATGCCACATTTGGCTGCTCCCTTTCACATGTAGGGTCCATGTACCATATAACATTTTTTAGTATTTACCATAAGCCAGACATTGTACCAACCTGTCTTCAGTGGATTCCCTGGTTGCACCTTCTCAGCCTGTACCCATTAGCCCATTGCCATACAATCAGTTCCACAAAGTGACCCTGTAGGACGAAATAGAACCACATACACACTCTAATCTCTACAAAAATCACATCTTTGTCACATCTTTGGCCTGGGGAGCAGTTAGTGGGTTTGAACCTTCAACTTTTCAGTTAGCAGTTGAGTGCTGAACTGTTGAGCTACCAGGGATTCTTTACCTTCTCTGCTGTTGTTGTTGTTATATGCTGTCTAGTCATTTCTGATTCATAGTACTCTATATAGGGTTCCGAAACTAAATTTTTGCGGGAGCAGAGAGCCTATCTTTATCCCATGAAATGGCTGGTGGGTTTTGAACTGCTGGCCTTGTGGTTAGAAGTGCAGTGCTTATCCTGAGTGCTACCAGTGCTCCCTTATATTCTCGACAGCTCTATAAAGTAGGCATTATTGTCATCCCTGCTTTACAGAAAGACTAAGAACATACGTGTATGTGTAACAATAAAACACATGACACACTTGGAGGCAAGACACTTGCTCTTCCCACTTGTGGTAAGACCTAGAGCGTCTCTACTGTTTTCTCAGCTCAGTGTCCCTGCCTGCACCTCAGGCCTACTTAGGACCATCTGTCAGTGAAGGCATGCATGTTGCTATGATGCTGAATTTACTTAAGTGGAGCTTCTAGACTAAGACAGACTAAGCATAAAGGTCTGGTGATCTGCTTCTAATAATCAACCTGTGACAACCGTATGGATCAGAAAAGTCAGATCTACAACCTCTCATGGGAATTGCACAGATCTAGGAGAATTTCCATCTGTTGTGTATGGGGTCAACATGAGTTGGGGGACAACTAAACAGAAGCTAACAACAACACACCTAGTATTACTCCCCCTCTCTGATAGGGAAGTAGACTCAGAAAGGCTTGAGCTTCAGTTTAAATCCCATACTTTCTGTCTGTGTGTTAAACTTGTGCTAAGGGATCATTAGGAAAACTTTCAGCTCTAAAATGCAGTTCATTTTGACTTCTGATTTTTAGTTAGCCATATTGTGCTCCCAAACAGAATAAACCCTGACAAAAACCACCACTGACCAGATTTTTCTAAACTGAAAAGGTTTCATGGTGGGTTTCTCGGAATAATTCCCAAGTCTCTCCTGTTCCTCCAAGTTGGCCCATGCATGTGGGTGCTCCAAGTTAAATAAATGAGAAGAGACTTCCCATAGCACCCTGCATGTTTCTTGAATCCATAAGCTTGTTGTATTTACTCCTGGCCTAAGTGGAGAGAAGAGTCCCTCAGTGGTACAAACGGTTAATGCAGTCAACTGCTAACTTAAAGACAGAAAGTTAAAGTCCACCCTGAGGTGCCTCGGAAAAAAAGACTGAGCAATTTGAAAAAGCACCCATTAAAAACTCTATAGAGCATAGACGTGATCTCACACCCATGGGTTACCATGAATGGGCTAAGGTGAGGAGTATATATACTGCCTTTCTGCAGTTTCTCCTCTCTGAGGCAGTACTGGTGCCCAGTAAGACTCCCTGAACTGTGGTCATCCACAGTTGCCCCAAGCTTGATTCAGAAGTGAAGATACTCTGAGAAACCTCCAAATTCTGCCATAAAATATAATTTATCACCCTTTCCTGGGTCCAGTACTCACGAGAATAAGGTTTGAGCAATCCCACATGCTTTTAGTTCCAGGCAAAATAAAACAAGTTATCATTATCTTGATGACCACCTAACCCTCAGTAGGAGGCTCTTCCTGGTCTGTGTTCAGAGAAGACATCATTAAATAGGCTTTCAAATAGTGTGAAAAGTGTGTTGTTTTTAAAAAACAAAAACACTTTCATGTAGCATATTATTTAAAGATACTACACATTTCATCACCACTCCTCTGTCAGTTTTGTCATGCTGAGGAGGCTTACCTTTTGCTGTATGCTGGAACCTATACCACCAGTATTTTAAATACCAGTAGGTCACCCAGGGGGTACAGATTTCAGCAGAACTTCCAGACTGACAGACTAGGAAGCAGAAAAGGCAGACTATTTCTGATTGTTTAGCCTTTGGACACCTTATGAATAGCAGAGGAACACTGTCAGATATAGTGCCAGAAGATGAACATGTTATGAATAGCACAAGAATATTGTCATAGAGTATGAGATGATGAACCTGTCAGATTGGAATGTACTCAAAATAAGACAGAAGAAGAGCTCCCTCCTTTAAGTGGAGTTGATCTTAGTGATGCAGATGGAGTCAAACTTTTAGGACCTTTATTTGCTGATGTAGCACAATTAAAAAAGAAAAGCTGTTATTGTTGCTACATGCAGTTGAGTGCATAGGATTTCCAAGGAGCAGCTGGTGGATTTGAACAATTGATCTTGTGGTTTACAGTGTCATACCTTAGTGACATGGATGGAGTTAAGCTTTCAGGACCTTTCTTTGCTTATGTAACACAACACAAAATGAGGAGAAACAGGTGCAAATATCCATTAGTAATCAGAACATAGATTGTACAAAGTATCAATTGGAAGTTGTGAAAAATTAAATGGAACACATAAAAATCAATATCCTAGGAATTAATGAGCTGAAAGGGACTGGTATTTGGCCATATTGAATCTAACAGTCATATGGTTTGCTATGCAGGAAACATGAAATTCGAGAGAAAAGGTGTCAGATTCATCATCAAAAAGAATATTTCAAGATCTCTTGAAGTACAATGCTGTCTGTGATAGATTATATCCATACACTTACTAGGAAGACCAGTTAATATCACTCATATTCAAATGTACACACCAAACATTAAAGGTACTGACAAGGAACCTGAAGAATTCTACCAACTTCTTCAGCCTGAAATTAATCAAACAGGCAATCAAGATGGATTGATAATTATTGGTGATTGGAATGAGAAGGTTAGAAACAAAGAGGAAGTATCCATAGTTGGGAAATATACATCTTATATTTCACAAATGAACAAAGCAAAAATATTTCATGCACACATACAAAACAAATAAAAGCAAAACATACATATTCATTGAAATGTCAAAAAGACTTATTCTGAAAGCCAGCCTCCTGCTCATAAGCACATAATCTTATTCAGTCCATGGACCTAGAGTCCATAGCTGCTCTGTCTTTCCATATCAAAGCCTCTGTCGTCATCTCTGCTATAGTCACTTTCCCAGGTAGGGATCCTATGCTTCACTCATGCACTTCCTTAATGATGGTCCTGGGATTGTTTGTTCCTGAAATGAAAGATAACTACTCTCCTTCCACAATTACAATTTTGACAATCACAATCCTACTAACAGTTACTCACAATTGAAACCATAAAACCATATCAGCATCATCTCCTACCCCCTTTCACCAGATCCACCTGGAAAGAAGGAAACTATTCAGTGGTGGTTGCCCTTTGTCACCTCATTCTAAAATTAAGCACACCCATGGAAACTTGTAAGCCAGCCACTTCATGCCTTTACAACCCACCATTTTTGATAGCTAATGTCTTTGATCTGAAGAACCTTACATTCCAGTTGGAATTTTGAGCAACTGCATCCGTAAGCAAAAGTCCAGTCCAACAAATTGTAGCCATTTACACTTGCTCACAGCATCAAGCATCCATAGCTTTCTGTTCAGCTCAGCCCTAGCCATCCAAGCTAGGTCAAATGGGTATCCGCTGCAAGTTTGGGAGTTCACACACACCTCCCTGAACTTCACACCAGCTTTAGTCCACTTCACTCTCAGCCTTAGTCCCCATGGGCTAGGTCAGTGCCCCTGGGCTCAGGAGCTCACACAACTCCCTAAACCTCAGACCATCCAGCCCTTCCTCTTCTCTTTCTCATCTCAAGGTCAATGGGTACTAATAGAATATGTCCAGATTCAGCCCATGTCTTCATTGCTGCATTTCCCCAAATTCCACTCAAAGTGTAGACCCAGGTGTTCACCAGCAAGCATACTAGACAGCTCAAAGATTCCCTTTAGCTTTCAATCCTAGAAGAGAGTGTTCTCTGATGGGCCGACTTTCCTTTCCTTCACACCTATAAAACTCAAAACATCAAACTGTGCAGTTGTTTCTGCATGAATCACCTGTTCTCCCAGAAGTTCTGGATTGGTATGTATGTTTTTTAAAAGCAAATGTCCAAACTCAAGGTTCTGAGTGGGGCTCTGGATTACACCTAAAGCCCCATATACCCTACAAAGGCTTAAACCAAGAAGCCTATTTTTTTCTGGGAAACATCTAACTCCCCTTTTAGGAAATCCCATTAAATATAGGCTGAAGGTGGGCTTACAAGCTCTCTGTAATCATCACACCCAATATCCATTTCTATCACACATGTGTTTTACAGTAATAGGCAGGAGAAACAAATACCCATGAGGCAGTTGAACACATAAATTTTTTTTTAATAAGTGTTTTATTGTGAATTATGTGATAGTTTACATGGGAGAACATTAGTTTTACATTCATTCTATCATA